CTAGTATTTTGCAAGTACTGACGTCCCAGTTTCAGATCGGGGATGTGTCAGTGTGATATATAACCACAAAACGTTTCTGACTCTAGGCTAGTTGCGGGATCTTGTATTTTTCCAGCGCTTATCACCAGAAGACCTACTTCATATGACATGAAATCCAGAAATTCCGGCCATCTTTTATATCTAAATCGCATACAGTTCAATTGGGAGAAGGGAACTTTTCACATATAATGTGATCAAGTCGAGACCAAGTCGAGGTTGAATCAATTAATAAACACCGCCAAGCTGTGTATGGGGGATCCGTAAGTCTTTGTGATCTCAGCGTTTCAGTAGCACCAAATCATATTGTTTTTTTTTTGCGTCTACCACAGGTTGACCATGGATCGCCCACAATAAAACCAAAGAAGATAAATCGATATCCCCCTGGGTATTCTCTCTGTTGGCACTTAAAATGGGCTCGCATATTCGAGCTCATAACCAGCAAACCATTAGTCAATCCGGCTCGGCACGCTATTGTATATAATCGAGTACTTGCTGTGGGTGTCTCCGGGAGCAGTTGACATGCCTCTGTGTCCCATCATTATATCAGATACAATATATCTTGCCTCTGCCCTCAAAAACCAAGAAGAATAATCTGACTTTACAATTGGGTGTATAGAAAGTTGTAGAATAAACAATAATGATATCGGTCAGGGGACAAAAGGATGGATGTAACTGTGAGTTAACGTGTATATTATGATAGGATTTTCTAGCAAAGACAAGACAAACGATTGTCCCACGCCAAAACGTTCTGTACCAAATTAGTCGTTGTATGTACACAAAGTGTAAAGCTGAGGATTGATGAAAAGCATATATCCCTCGGAAACTGCCCTGGTTACTGTGTCAATTAAGTGCCCATCCAGCAGATCGCAGAAAGAAGTATAGAACATACGATCGGATGACCATCTGAAACTTCCGCAGACAATAATTAGGCACAATAGTCACGCACAGGAAATATCAGAGTCTTGCAAGCAGCTATAAATTTGATATAATAGATTTTCCTCTAATAGATATTCGTCTTAGCCAAAGTATGTTGACAAACTTTTCCGTTTTGCAAAAGATCCCCTTTAGAAAACTGTCACGTTATCGCGGGTGACTGTACAAAGGGTAGCCCAAGTACATCAGTGCCGTTGGTGTATCTTCGTCATGCCATGGGATGCTTTCCTCGTCTCAAAGTGGTTATCAACTAAGGTGGTTAATACTTATCAGAGATAAGGCCTGAGCTTTTTTGCGGGTTAATATGGGCGTTAGAGGCCAGACCATAGATTCTTCTTGTTCAATCAAAGTAGGCTACTCTTCTAGACCCCTGGAAAAAATCAAAAGATCATCTGCATAAGCTAGATGTTTGAGGGAAGGACTTTCTTACTGTGGGACATTACGTATCGATGGGCAATGAGCGACATGATATCTACCAGTTTGGTGTAGGATCGAGCAGCCCAATAAATTAGGGCCAATGATTATACGGCGGAGCAAGGATTTAATTGCCAGGTTGAAAAGCATTGACAAAAACGGATCACCTTGCCTCAATTCTTGTTGTTGGGGAAGCGCGGTGACTGACCACCCATTGATTTATACATGAATCTGGGTTTAAAATAAAAGAGAGTAGATAGAAGATACTAACTGGTCCGGAAATCCAAATGCTTGCAGTACTTGTTTGATCTAAGTCGGATGCATTCTATTGTAAGCCCTTTCTTGTTCAAATTGAGCACCTAGTGTCGATGATGAGAAGGCCAAAGCCTTGAGGTACGTCATCAGTATTCGGATAGTCCATCCATTATCAGAAATCAGTCTTTGACAGAATACTTTGAAGAAATACTTCTTCCTCTGCTCATCATTTTCCAATCGAGGGGTGTTGGACCAGAGGAAAAGGTATCTATGTCTTTCTTCAATGGCAGGTACAGTTTCATAATCAATATTTTCTGATTCGATCCGTCGATCCTCACTGTGTGATAGACGTGGGACTGTCACACGTTGTGTTTGGTGACTATTAGTGGTTCTCTGATGTGTACGGGATGCTTGTTTATCATATTCTTGAGCAGTAAGTTTAATGACTCTTTTTTTAAAGAAAAAATTCCACTGAACCTGTGGAGTCAAACCACTACACTGGAAGTAAAATAACTTGTCAAATGTAGTACGTAGAAGACGTCGAAATCCGGAATTTTAGAGAGAGAAAAGAATTAAAGCGCCATGTGCCATAACTAGGGGCATGGTCTTGGATTGCTAGGTCGACGGTTAAGAATGAGCGGCAAGTACAACATGGAGATAAATGCATTATTCCGGTGTTAGCCAAGCGAGGTCGAAAAGACACATGCCCAAAACTATAGTCTATTGTGTAACGAGTGTCGCTCCGATGGAAAGTAGGAATAGCCTGTTCCCTCACAGTATCTTCATACCATGTATCATGCAAATAGTTAGCAAAATGGGCTCCGAGTCAGAGAACTAAAGGTTGCAGCGTGCGGGGCTGTCTCTTATGAAGGTTAAGAGTAAGGTTCCCTAACATAATCCAGCTGCAAGTATGTATCATATCGTGGAACAAAGTCTTGACGCAGGAGTAAAACCAAGTGCTCTCATTCCGGGTAGCTAGGCCATATATATAGCTACAAAGTGACAAATAGTGTGTAGGCTTGGGCCTATTATAGTAGCATGTATACAACGGCGGTCAACCATGACAAATTCATCCGAGAGTTGGATATCGGGGGTTGGGTATATTACAGTACAGTGTCGAGTGAGGATGGAAGATGAGTGCCGAAAGAGATGTTGTAGCAGGGTGATGTAATTAGGAGAAAATTTAGGACTGGCTTCAGATAAATGTGTGACTTTTTGGATTGTGAACATATCGAGACCAAGTTCTCAAGAACATATATATATATATATATAACAAACACTAATTATGTCTGTGGGTAGTCAACCTTCAAAATGCTACATCAATTTAAGGTGGCAATCTGCAAGTGAGACTTATTCATGCTGGCACAATTCCATGAAATGAATTTCGTTCAGCGAGAGCTTTGTCGAGCAAGCTATTGCTGTGGGTATTGTAATGTCTCAGAGTAAGAAGTCGTTAAGATTTACGTCTCTTTCTGTTGCTGGGTTTAGTGTTCAATGTAGGTCGCACATCTATAGCAATCATGCTCGGACGAGGGCGTGGCACTAAAGGTGGAATTGCAGCATTCAAATTGTATGTAGGAGATAAACCTTTCTTCTCTATTGGATATAGTTGTTCTTGAATTACAGTTGTGCCCTTTTTTTCAGAATTTTTGACATGGACAATCAAGAAACCCACTTTTCATTGTTTTCTCCCTGAATTCTACAAGTCTTTTTTGGCTTTATCTTCATGACAATGTCCTTGACTTTAAACTGTTGTTTTTCTCTGAGGTTCTTATCATAGTTATATTTTTGTCGCTCTTGGTTTTTTGTAAGTTG